ACCAATCGATGGCACAAGCAGTGCGTGCGAGCCTCATTCGTCTTTAGATTTGTCGTTGAAGCTTGAGCAACTAAACATGTCATGCTTGAGTCACCAATGCGTGTTTTTGAACTATAATCCTTAACATCTGGCCTGATTTTTTTGGTGCGAGTTTTAAAAAGAAATAATATTTATATATACTATGCGCAAACACTGCAGGCGCGACGTCCGGCTCCGTACTGGCCTGGAAAACAGTATGTATAAATCCTAAAATATAAATTCCAAAGCAAAATCGTTAATTCATGATGCAGGCCAAGCATTATCAGCCCGCCACATCCTTAGCTTCTTTATGTCTTCAGCAAAGTTATATAATTTTAATAAAAAAAAAACTGCAGGTGAAGAGCATCAGCGATGAAGACCGCCAGTTGCTGAGGCAGTGGTTCGAGGACAGCAAAATTATACAAGAATACAACACTAAATAATACTTGTATTACGTTTCATTTTGCCATTCAGGAGAGAAAGGACAATCAAGAACGAGAAGAGGCCCGCAACTGTATATTTATAACATATAAAAAACCAAGCCAACTAAGGCGTATCAGAGAGACGGCCAGAAGTACGTCCGCACAGCCTCCGGAACGGCCACTGGCTTATTATTTTATGTTGCGTTTATAAATTTTATTCATGTATGTTCAAGGTCTGGGCTGTCGAGAGCGACAGTGAGGAGACGTCTGGCTTTACCATTTTACGTCACTGTATGTTTTTTTTTAAATTTGTGTGTGTGAGGATGAAGTGGAGAAGCGCAATGGGCCCGTGCGGACCCTGTTTGTGTCTTACACTAAGCGTAGTCTTGAAGCTATTTTTATTTTCGAAGCATTATTGGTTATCTTGTTAAGAATTCTATCTAAAACGAAAGGATTAATCGAATATGATGAGGGACTCGACAAGGCCGATGTCTCGGGACAGACACGGGGTTTGGATTCCCTGTGACAACCATGAGCCATAAGCGTTAAACCCTAAACCCTAAACCCTAGACTTGAAACCCTAAAGCCAAGGTTAAGTTTATGTCATTTCCGCATTCCTGTAGTAACTTATGAACCCAAACCTAGACCACAAACATTACATTCGAAAAAAGCTTCTTTAAATCAAGCCGATGTCTTGTATTATGGCAGCCCTACACTCGAAAGCTTAAAGTCTCGACCCTCAATCCGAAACTCTTATTGTGAGTGTATGGCCAGAACCCAGCAAAGGTGTTGAAATAAAAACCCATATGAAGTCCTTCGGGAATCGAGCATGTAGAACTAGTTAAGGTTTAGGTTCAGATTTAAATGTTAGAGGTTTAAACTTTTAAAACCGATTAATCAAACCGTAAACATCAAACCATAAATCGCGGACCTCCAATTTTTGTTACCATAAACCCAGTGCAACCGTTCACCAGGGCGAAATCGAGGGCTTGGAGGAAGGCCTAGAAGAAGAGGAGGAGGCGCGCGGCCCGTACAGTGCGATGAGTTTTCAGGGCTTAGATATAAAGTAGTTCTTTGAACTGTCAAGCTAATAGACAGGGGTCTAAGAGTTCGGAGCTTTAGGTTTTTTCAGGATCTCGGGGGCTTTTTGTTGCCTCAGTGTTCCGTTTTGAGGAGGGGCTTTCTAGAAAGATTTGAAATGTGTCGCCTTAAACTGCAAGCTTCAAACACGGAACCCTCTTCGTTACACTTCAAACCGTAAACTCTTAACTTTCAACCATAAGCCTGAAACATCAAACCATAAACCGTAAACGCCACACCTTTAATATAAACCCAGTGAAACCATTCACCAGGTCGAAGTCGAGAACTTGAAGGGCTGGAAGGAGATGAAAACGAGGCGCGCGGCCCGCGCAGTGACTCGAGCATGTAAAGCTATTCAACGTGTAGGTTCAGACTCAGATGTTAGAGGTTAAAACTTATAAAACAAATTAATTAAACCGTAAACCTTAAATATCAAACCATAAACCGTAGACGCTAGACCCTTAACCCTAAACCCAATGAAACGTCCACCAGGGCCAAGACGGTGGCTTGATGGAAGAGCTGGAAGCAGAGGAAGAGGCGCGCTGCCTGTGCCCTAAACCATAAATCCTAAACCCTAAACCTTAAACCCTAAACCTTAAACCCTAAACTTTAAACCCTAAACTTTAAACCTTAAACCCTAAACCCTAGACCTTAAACCCTGAACGTGAATCTTAAACTTTAAAAGCCATAAAACCTGAAGGAAATCGCCTCCTTATTTTTTTTGAAGCCAAGAAACCCTGAAAGCGTTAATTTTGCCGAGCGCCTAAAAAAACAAGGCTGACGACCTCGACTTCCGCAATTACATTGTTAGAAGAGCATTTCTGTAGTAAATTATGTACTAAAACCTGAACCACAACCATTACATTTGAGAAAGCTTCTTTAAATCAAGCCGATGTCTTGTATTATGGCAGCCCTACACTCGAAAGCTTAAACTCTCACCGTAAAACTCTTAACTTTCAATCGTAAACCTTACACATCAAACCATAAACAGTAAACGCTACACCCTTAATCTAGACCCAGTGAAACCATTCACCAGGTCGAAGTCGAGCACTTGAAGCAAGAGCTGGAAGAAGATGGAAGCGAGGCGCGCGGCCCGCGCAGTGAATCGAGCACGTAAAACTATTTAACGTTTAGGCTCAGACCCAGATGTTAGAGGTTTAAACTTATAAAACAGATTAATTAAACCGTAAACTTTAAATATCCAACCATAAACCGTAGACGCTAGACCCTTAATCCTAAACCCAATGAAACCGTCCACCAGGGCCAAGACGACGGCTTGATGGAAGGGCTAGAAGCAGAGGAAGAGGCCCGCGGCCCGTGCCCTAAACATTAAACCCTAGACCTTAAACTCTGAACCCTACACCTGAAACCTTAAACACTACACTCTAAACCTAAATCTTAAACCCTTAACCCTAAACCCTAAACCCTAAACCCTTAATCTTAAACCATAAACTCTAAACCCTAAACTCTAAACCCTAGACCTTAAACCCCGAACCTAAATCTTAGATTATAAGAGTCATAAACCCTGAAGGCAATCGCCTCGTTATTTATGACAGCCAAGGAACCCTAAAAGCGTTAATTTTGCTGAGCGCCTAAAAAAAAAGGCTGACGACCTCGACTTCCGCAAGTAAATCTTTTAAAAAGCATTCCTCTAGTAACCTATGTATTAAAACCTAGATCACAAACATTACATTTGAAAAAGCTTCTTGAAATCAAGCCGATGTCTTGTATTATGGCAGCCCTACACTCGAAAGCTTAAACTCTCGACTCTCAATCCTAAACCGCTAAACCCTTAATCCTAAACCCAATGAAACCGTCCACCAGGGCCAAGACGATGGCTTGATAGAAGGGCTGGAAGTGGCGCGCGGCCCGTTCCCTAAACCTTAAACCCTACACCCTAAACTTTAAACCCTAAACCTTAAACCCTGAACTTACATCTTAAACTATAAGAGTTAAAAAACCTGAAAAAAATCGTATCCTTGTTTCTCAAAGCCAAGAAGCCCTTCACACTTTAGGTTAATCAATGGCGCGATTCCGAGCTGCGCCGTGAATGGCTTGGAGAAGATGTGGAGTGAGCGTTTCACATAACAGATCGAGCAGATGATTTATGCTGCCGAGACTCGCAGCATGTCAGTTTTCCAAGCACAGCTCTGAGCAAAGAAGCTGGAACGCATCTGTTATTAGGATCAGGACCTTCAGGGTTAAGGTTTATATATAAGAGCTTAAGGTGTTAGAGTTCAGGCTCAAAGTCTTTCAAGGTAAATGGTTAAATGTTTCAACTTTGGATTCAGAGCTAAGAATTTAAAGTTGAGGGTGTAAGGCTTAAAATCTAAGGAGTAAAAATTGATGAGGAATGTTGGACATGCGGAGATGTATGAGCAGCTGCGAGCTCGAGCTTAGTCTCTTTATCTTTATCTTCATCTACGCGAAGCGTTTGTTTGGTAAAGTAAGGCCCCTGTGGGTTTAAGGTTTAGAGCTTAGAGTTCAAGGTTTAGGGTTTAAAGTTTGTCGTTTAGAGTGTATGGCTTACGGTTTAGTGAACAAGGTCTTTTTGGAACCCTAACTGGCCAGGTGCAGATGAGTAGCGACTTAAACCGAATCCTTAACCACAAACCCTAAACCTCTACCAAAAGCTTAAACTCGAAATCCTAAAACCTAAACCCTACACCCTAGACCATAAACCTTAAAGCCTAAACCTTAAACCTAAACCCTAAACCCTAAACCCTAAACCCTAAACCTTAAAGGTTAAAACATCAACCGTGCAGTTGGTTTTTGCAATGTACAGTTTGCCCGAAGCATGAGCTCAGACAGACAGGTGGAGACATGCGATGGACGCGTTCATTTAATAGCATATATATTATTATATTTATGGATTTGGCTTTGTTTGTTTAAAGGGCTCTGTAAAAACTAAGCCAAAAGAACCCTAAAGGTCTCAGGCTCATATATATATATATATATATATATATACATATACATATACATGTACATGTACATATACATATACATATATACATATCTCTAAGACGAAGAAGAGGACTGTCAAACTTGTACAACCCTCCGTAACACTAGGGTGTGTATGCTTCCAGTCCTCAGCGCATCGTGTCTTGTCTACGCATGCTCGAACTTGCTGTTTGGCTTTTAGACTTTGTTTGTGGCTGTGGGCTCGCTCCATTGATCCTGGCCGCGCCCATGATTCAGCTGGGCCCACTGCTGCGCACACTCATTTCACAGTGTTAGGCTACATAAGCCTTGTTGCCAGCTTGTACTTATAGGCCGAAGGTTCTAGCTCCACTGTTCCACCCACACTTATACAGACTTTCAAGGTCCAGCGCGCGCTTTCATTCGGTGACCTTTGGTGTAGCTCACGTGCACGGTGTTTTGCACTGTGTGTGCACTGTGTTTTGCACAGTTCAGCTCCAGGAAGGGATTCAGAAGCCCGACTGGACATCGCGAGCGACTGTTCCGCGATTGTCACCGTGCCTGGGACCTGCGCGGCTGCAGCCCAGGCAGACCTGCGAGCTGCCAACGAACGTCCATCCCTTGTGCATATCCAGCGAAGCTCAGTGCCAAGCAGGCCGTCTGATCCTGGGAGTGGCCCACGCCCAGCACAAGCCTCAAAATCTGGGACTGTGTTACAGCTCTCTGGCTGCTCTTTGCCGTCTTTGCCCCTGTCAGACATATCAGGCCCCAAACTTAGAACACCACACACGCGATTGCCGAGGACGGAGCACTCAGGTCAACAACTGGCAAGAAGGAGCCTTGACTCGACGTTATGGCCTCATCAACCTGTCCACAGCAATCGGGCAACATGGCCTCCAGCCCTCTAGCTGCACATGGTGCGGCGTGGCACGGCCTGACCATCCGCTCCCGACCTCTCAGTCATCTCTTGAATTGTGGTCCTGGGAGCTCGCCCATACCGCCCTTTCTTACACCATTTCCTTCCAGCATCTGTTGGGTTTCCAATCGAGCAAGCCACCGTTGCTGATGCACACTCCAGGTGCCCGAGCCCTGGCCGCCTGTCACGTTGCTGCTAGCTTCGTCATTTCCCGGCAGAAGATGTACAATACACAGCCGAACCTTCTGACACATGTTGTGGGCCATGTTTTTCGGCCTGGAAATACGAAAGCCGAGCAAACAATCTCATGCCGGCACAGAGGCACGATTTTCTCGCCTCCGTTTCAGGTTCTGTGGCCTGGTCTGCGCCACATCGCCTGCCTTACTTGGACGTTGAGGAGAGCCTTTCACACCCTCATATTTCTCGTCAGAGGGGGGATTTTCAGAACTCCCAAAAAGATTTGGCTATACGAGGGCACTCATGTAACAAAAAAAGCTGCTCCTCCCCGAAGCGGTCAAAAGGAGCCCACGGGGAGACTCTCAACCACTCTCTTACTTTCGTAGTAGAGTGCGGCCCTTCGGGCCTGCTCTAGGCAAAAGAGGCCCCTACAGTGCCTCACGATAGGGCCGTTTGGGTTTCTGTGGGGGGGGATCATGTTCTTGAAGAAGCCGAAGGCCAAAATAAATTAATATTCTACTTCGAACATCCCCACCTTGCTCCTCGTTAAAAGGAAAGAGCGCGAATAGGATGTTCAAGCAAAGACATATTGATTCAAATACGCTTTCTTAGTTTTTGCTTGCAATTGGGGTCGGGCACTCAAGGGAGACTCTGTTGGGCACTCCAGGGAGACTCTGGGGTTGAGCACTCCAGGAGTCTCTGGGTTGGGCACTCCAGGGAGTGTCTGGGGTTGGGCACTCCATGGAGTCTCTGGAGTTGGGCACTCCAGGGAGTCTCTGGGGTTGGGCACTCCAGGGAGGCTCTAGGAGTAGGCCGGGCGAGGAGAAGAGTTCCGGGCGAGGAGAAGAGTAGAGTTTAAAATCTAACAACCCCACACCGAAGGTGGGGAAAATAGAGAAACACGGCGAGGATGTTGCAAGAGATCACTGAACTATCTCGAAATGCCCGTACATCTGGCTGATCGGGCCAGGTTTCGGCAGTGTCTTCGTTGTGCCGTGCATGCCTGAACTCCCCCCCCCCTCGGAAAACTCAGTCCCGACTTGTAAGAATACCGTCCCCTTTGCTTAGAACCAGGCTGTGCGCGTGAAAGAGAGAGAGAAAGAGAAAGAGTGAGAGAGAGCCACTCCCTAAACCAGCACAGCAGGAAACAAAAAAAGAAACGAGATAAACCACCCGAACTCACCAAAGGCGCACATCTTGCCAGGATTATTTGGGGCAACAGGCACGAAAAAGACACTTGGCCAGGCACCTAAGATAGCTTGCCGCACGGGAAACACAGAGATTTGAGTGAGGGTCCGATTTTGTTGCGGTTCCGACTTTGGATCAGCATGTTTGCGGGTCTCCTGAAGGAAATCTGGGAGCCACAAAACCAGAAAACCGGTATGGTTTGGGAGGTACCCCTCCTCCGCCAGCTTCCAGAGGGTTGGGAAAGAAGCAAACCGTTGAACTGCGATGAGAAAAAAAAACCATAGCTTCTCTTGTGATGAAGGGATCATGGATGGCAGACTCGAAACCAACATCTGGGCTAGCAATGGCCGATCTTATTCTGGCTGCCGCCATCCTTTCCGAGCAAATGCTCAAGCTCAAGTGGCTTTGCCCGACGTTCACCAACGTCCACCGCCAAGCACAACGTTGTCAACATAGAATTGAACGAACAAACGCACATACCTGTGAGGCGGAATGACAAGCAGTCAACAAAACAACTGAGTGAGGCAAACAAACCTCCCCCAAGTCGTTGTGGCCCACGCTCTGCGAGAGTAAAGCCTGATTTGTTGATGCAGCGGATACAGCCGCCGCTGCTGCCGCGGCTGCCACCTACAGGCTGCACAAAGATGCACAGAGATCAAGGCCATGTACAAAAGATGTTGGCACAAACGGCATCGTTCTTCCACAGAAACTAAACCACTACCGGCTTCGGGAGAAGCACTCAAAGTCTCCCTGCAATCCAGCTGGCAGCTTGGGGCCTCCATGGCGAGCACAACCGGCTGGGCTTCTCTCCTTGCTTTCCGCTGCGCTTCGCCAAGCAGCTCAGGCCTTAAAGCCACGGGGCCAAGAGGCACCAAAAGAGGCCAAAGGGGAGCTCATTCGGCAGAGAGGGGGCACGGGGCTCTGGGTCCGAGACGCCAGACCCAAATTCAGGAGGGCTTCGGTCGACATCGCACTGGAAGCTTGCTCCTTGGAGCCTCGCGTGGAATGAGTCCCGCCAAATTTGAATCTCCCTGGCTCCGGCCTCCGTGCTCTCGAAAGACTGGAGAAGTGGCCTGGAAACTGCAAAGTCGGACCAATGGAATGGAAATGGAACGCACGCCCGTGCAGTCCATGACTACATTGTAGTGAGATTAGTGAGGTAGCTCCAGGGCCGGCTCTGCATCAGCAGTGTCCACTGTCAGGGGCTGCGTCGGAAGCTGTGGATCGATGCCTCTGAGGAGGGGCTCAGCGCTCACCAGGAATGAATATGAACCCTTTGGAAGTAACATCGAAGTACTGAGGATTGCGCTGAGGCTTCTCTCGCTGCGCCTGCACTGCATCATGCTGCCAAAATTGCTCAATCCGGTCCAAGCTTCGCCTCGAGATGCCGGCCACGAAGTCCTCCATGGGACTCCGGACATTGGGCTTGCCTACGGACTGCCTGGGCCCCTGCAACAGCAATCATGCCAGAGAAGCCTGCGCCGCGGCTTCAGTGCTGCGCCTGCATGTGTGTTCCCATGAATTCTTCCGATTCTTCCACAGATATTTTGGGTGACAGAAATTCTTGTGACTTCGGGTTGGCTATGCGACTGCTGTGCGTCATGGCTTTTTGCTTTGATCATAAGATTGATCGTCGAGGTGCCACAAGGCCTAAGCCTAAGCCTAAGCCTAAGCCCTGCCTTGGCGTGCAGTACATGACCTCATCGCCATCTGCTCCTCTGACCCCGCAATGACCCCGCAATACTCCAACATTTCCAACTTCACAAACTGAATCAGAGCATATCAGCCATCAGCTCAGAGGAGCTCCTTGAAGTGTCACGGTAGCGGAAGGATCTTCTTGCTTGAGGGTCACAGTAGGCCTACAGGCCATGACCATGACAGGGACTGCAACCTGCGCCGGGATGCGCTTGGGGCTACGACAGGCGCCGTGGATCCCTCAGGATCCCATCGAGGCCTAAGGTGTCCAAGCCCGAAATGCGCCACCCACAGGCCCACAATGTGTAGTATCACGGAGTATCAGGGAGTCAGAGGCCACAGCTCTGCAGCGAAGGGATCACTAGACACAGCCGCTGCCAGTAACCTGGGCTGTAGGGCTTAGCACGAAAGATTGGTGTAGCTATGGCACAATCTGCCGCCGGGAGAAATTAGGTCGCCACGGTCTCGCATACTGCGAGGCACTGAACTGAAACCATCCTCGGCAGCAGCAGACTCCAGTGGAGCAAGCCAACTAACTGGTTGGAACAACAAGCTTGGGCTTTCAATCTTGCAGTTCACATGAACATGCATTCGTTCTTGTCGAGTGGAACAAACCTGCAAGAAACGAAAGGTGCGCTGCACGTTGTGAAGATGAAACATGCCGTGACATGAACTCCGCACGCACGTGAAGTCCGTCGAGCGAGCATAGCGCTTGAGGCCATCGCACAAAAGGGGGCTATGGCCAAGGTTTGGCTAACAGACAAAGACGCAGAGTCCCTCACGCACTTGCTCCGCACTGGTAATTTTTCCTGAACAATGTGAAACGCCCCTTTTGCCAGCTATGGGTCACAAGTTTAGATATGGGCCAAGCGGAAGCAGAAAGTGCCGCTGACAACAGTCAAGTGATGTTAGTCAAAAACACACTGCGGACTGTAGTGCATCTTCTGTCAACGATGTTGACTTTCGAAGAACATCGGATTGCGAGATTCCGTGGGCACCAGCGGACTGAGATCGCGGCTTGGCCTGTGCGAAGTGAGCCCTACCACGGGACGGCTGCGGCCGTGCCGCCGACTGGTCTGTCAACATCCCGCTACTTGCGCAGGTGCAGTGAGAGCGAGACCCCCCCGGCCAAGACTCGGAGGCAGCGCTGGCCCGAGAGGTCTCGCGCTTTGGAGAAGTGGGCGATACTGCAGGTACATCTAGACGCCGTGCCTCTGGTTTATTCCCCTGTTTACTGGCTCAGGTTTGGCCACTCGATACTGGCGGCAGTGGATCAACTCTTGTGACAGCTTGAGTCCCCGAGCAACGGCATCGCCTCACTTGATGCAGGCCGAACTTCAAGTGGTGGAGTCTGCGGAAGCGCAAGGCATTCTTGCGAATGGGTTGAAGTATTTCGAGGTCATCTGCGGCACGAGATGCGCAACATCCATACATAATCCGAGCATCTGTTTAATTAATACCCCCACATTTAAAGAATGCTTTTTCGCCGAGAAGCCCGCCGGAAGACTACTTTCCATTACGGTGGATTTCGTATGGGCCAATACCACCACATTTAAAGAAAATGTTTTCGGGGAGGTTCCAAAATCTGTCGGCAGGCTTCTTGTTTTGCTTGCTGAGCTGCGAAGCTACAGCACCTCAGGGATCTGCGGCCAATTGTTTTTAATGGAGAATCAATACAGGGCCACGGTGTTACTATTGCGGAACCCGGCCTTTCTTATTGCGGTGGGGGGGGGGGGCCCAATTAGACAGATGCTCGGATTATGTCTGCGCCTGGCACAGAAGCACGCCCAGCACGCCCGGCCATGGAAACATGACGCTGCACAATTCGTGCAACGCGCGCAAATGGTGAGAGTTGCTCAAGTTCAGGCACTGACGGAAATCAAGTCTTCCAGGCTTGCACTTGCTTCCCAGGTCCTTACGACAAGCACAGACATTGCATGCCGTGCGATTTGTGACGCATTCACCATAACCCTCGAGGTCCATGTGGGCAGCTTGTCTGCAAATGGGTAGAGGTCGATGCCTGGGCTGCTGAGGTGCCCATGACATCGACAACACACGTCGCACGTCGGGATCCGGCTGAGAGGATTGTTTCGGAGATCCAAATGCCTGGACATGCAGATGCTTGCACAATGCCTGCATCAAGGAAGAGCCTGAGGCATTATTGCTTGTGTTTGCTTCTTTCTTTGCACGCTGTTGAATATATGTGTTTTCTGCATGTCTTAGCTCCATCGTCTCCGACATCGCCTCTCGTAGTATGGAAAAGCTACTTACACTGCCACTACCACCACCACCACTACTACTCCGACTCCTACTACGACGATGACGACGACCACCACCACCACCACCACCACCACCACCACGAGGACGAGGACGAGGACGAGGACGAGGACGACGACGACGACGACGACGACGACGACGACGACGACATCTCTACGCCACGAATATGCCTGTGGTGCCAGAGGTCCCGGCTCCAAGCTCAAGCCGCCTGCCATTTCCAGCGTCTGCGCAACGTCCTTCCAGCTTCGCAACTTGCGCAGTCTGCACGTTCTCTTCACTGCCTCCTGGCACCTCTACATCTGTAATTTCATTGCCTCGGTTCAGGTTGAAACTGAGGTTACGGAAAGATCATGTTCGGCTGGAGCCGCGGGAACAGGGGTCTGTCTCAGCTGCACACCATTGAGCAACAGCACCCGCAATGGTCGGACACTCCAGCGCAAAGACGGCCTTCAAAGAGCCATTTTGGCCGAACATGTAGAAAGCTGACAGCTTCGGAGATAGGTGCAGAAGTATGGATCGCTCCTAGGAAACGCAAGATGCCCAGGATACCAATGCTGAGGAGTGCAACCCAGCAACGTTTAGCCAACCTCAGACCTCCACTCTGCGATACTCTGGATCCGATACACACTTCGGGATGCAAGCAAGGTGGAGATATGCAGATCCGGCTCCAGCTAGTTCCCATTCGAACTATAGGGACAAGGAAGCGTGTTGAGCATGGCAGTGCCCCAGAACCCACAGCTCCGAGGCGGCGGCTCCAGCGCCCGTATTTGATTCTGCGAGGCATCGAGGAAAGTGAGGCTGCGCAGCGGCGACAATGGAACTGGCGGAACAGGCTCTGAAGGTCAGAGGCCCCTGAACGGCCCACTATACTGTGTACCAGAACTTGGATTTCCAGGCAACTGCGCTTGCAGTGCTGGACTCTCTCTCACAACAACCCTTCGTGACTGACGAGCCTAAGGAGGTCAGCTGGTTGCCACGGACGACCTCCGGTTGTCACATTGCCATGCAAGTAAGGGAGGGAGAGAGAGAGAGAGAGGCACGCACACACTTATGATAATTCACTGGTAACTCTGCATACTTCTCCACGCTGGGAAGGAAGCAAGAGACACAAGTCGCGGAGCTCCCGCCAAATGTAGCGCCTTGAGGGCAAAGGAATGCCAGAAAAGAGAAAACTTCTGCACTCATTGATTCCACCTGTTGATTGGTGACTTTTTGGTCCACTTTTGGATCACTCTGCCAGCCGCTCCTGAGAGATGTTGTTGGATGCCAGGTCCAACTCCGTCAGAGAAGGCAGCTGCACCTGGGCCCAGTCATTCCTATGTTGCACTTAGTCCTCAGGAACTTCGAAACCTCTGAGAAAGCTACTGCGCTGATTTCTTCGATGGCATTGTGAGCCAGACGAAGGGTCTCCGGGATACCCACTCAGGCTGCACACATTGCTTGCACGGCCGTGTGAATGCCCCAGTTTCAGCACTCACGGTCCTGCATCATAGGGTGCTCCAGCAAATCCTGCACACGGGCGAAAGGAACTTTTAATGTCAGCAACTCTAGAGGCAGGCAGACAGTTAGAACAATCTTCACACACCCTACCACCCCCCAGCTCAAGGAGTGCTGCAGTATTAAGTCGAATAGCTAATTGGGTAGCGGCCTGACGGGTTGACCGCCAAAGGCCAGCCAAAATCAGGTTTCGAGATAACCGGCAGACCCTAAACTTTGTTCCGTCCTTGCAGGACAACAGCGCGTTGCCGTCCAACATCAGCTCAGACAGATACGGTACCGCCTCAACACTGCAAGAGTGCAAAAAGTTTAAGGTCGGGCAGATGACAACGAAAAACATCTCTGGTGCCTTCAGTAGGGAGATGGTCTGCAGGCAGCATCCCCTCAGGTCTACAACCTTCATTTCACGGCGGGCACAGAAGCATAAAGTCAGAGCCGCCCCAAGTAGTTCAAACTGCTGGACAAACCACTCGTCGGTGTCTGTGCCTCTAGGCTGCAGTGGACGCAGTGCAGGGAGGTGACGTTGAGGCCAGTAGCTGTAAGGCTTCGAAGCCTCACATCGAGCTGTTCTCTCATTCTAACCCCTGGCATAGCTGCTTCACGTGCTCACATATCACCTGAGCGCCCGGCACCTGAAGGGACATTGCGGCTGTGATGTCATTGAGCGCGGCATTTGCAGAAATGTTCAGCACCTGGTCTCGAGAACGTCAAACTTTGCTGAATCGCCTCTCAACAGATAAGGCCTAGGCCTCCAGGGCAGGGAAGGCCCGACTTTGCGCAGCCAAGGCGGGCGGTGCCTGGGAACCACGGCTCGGTCTTCCAAGCTCATATCCCGTGTTCTCCGGCCTGTCCCATAAGGCAGGGGCCAAGAAGAGTGGCCCAAGATCCCGGACATGATTCCTTCGGCCAAGAACAGGCGAGGCATGTCCTCCTACCTATTCTTTTGCCGCAGAGGCGTCCTCGAAATGTTGAGAACCCTGAGAGCTGGCAGCGCCGCCAGCGGTGCCAGGGCATCCTCGTTGAGCCTGAAGCACGGTGACCGCGTGGTGGAACTCTGATGACTCATGCGACAGTCAACATGATACGTGAGAAGTTAGACTCGCCCCTGAGGGTGGGCGATGGGCCACTGGGTTGCACGCTTATTGGCTGCAAGGTTTATCTCTTCGAGCGTCACGCATGCCGCAATCTCGGGGAGCACTCCAGGTGCAGCAGGCTCTTGCAGAAGAATCGGGAAACGCGAAAAACATGGAAAACCTGGCGGTGGCACAGAACCCAAGCTTCTGAGCCGGTTTCCGCTGATTGACAGCACCTGCCAAGACAGATGGAGAGAAGGCCCTTGACAAAAAAAATGCAAGTGCATTTAGAGCGGCTGCAATGGGATGCCTTCACTCCAGGCGGGGTCTCGACGATCTTGCGGATTCCCAGACCGTCCAAGTGCAGCTCCGTCTGCGCCTAAAGGATGAGCCATAAGATGCAGATAGTGTACTCCGACCATCAGCCCATGAAACAGCTGGGGCCAGGCTCCATGAATTTCCATCAGCGTGTTCAGACTTTGAAGCTGGTCCTGGAAAGCAACCCTTGGCCTTTGCGAGACACTTGCAACACTCTGACACTGTCCCATCCTCAAAATCAGCGCCGTAGCTACTAATTGCCGTGCAGGGTATTTCTATGTATTTCTATGTATTTCTGTGCGTGGTGGAGTGTGGTGATGACCCAACGGTCCTAATACAAAGCTAAGGATGCATTGCTGAGCTTCTGCAACCAAATGCCTGCCTAGACACAACACAAGCAACCTTGCCTGAACAAGCCCGTGCCTGCGGCTGTCCATTTACTATGCTTGAGCAAGTGGCTGGTCTGGCTGTAACATGGGCAAAGGAACCACCCATTCCGCATAACTACCGCGCAGCGGGCAGGACACCAGGGCAGCCGATTTTGAATTTCCTTATTCGGAGCTGAAACACGTTCCTTTCAGAAAGCCGTCGCTTGAGGAGTCGCTCTCCAAGTCCTGCTCATCCACGAAGCACTTGGACCATTTGTCGTGGAGGGCCTCCAGCTCAGAGGTGTACCTTTCCATGCGATCCTCGGATTTAGCGATGATCTTGCGAAGAGTCTTCTCCATCTGGTGGTCGTTCAAGTACCTTGCCAGCATGTGCAAACTGCGTGACTGTGCATGCATGAGAAGCAGGTTCAACAGTGTCTTTAAGAAACAATGCATCTGCTGGAATATCTACTGCCGCGGCATTGATCTACAAGCTGCCTCTCCTTGAATGCCAAAAACCAGAAAGTGCCCAGGGAATAGCAGCAAGAAGCAGCCGTGGTCAGCATTGCAACCCCCAAGAGGAGCTTCTGCGATGTTGGGTTGATCCGCTCGAACTCCGAAGACTTCACAAACCAGATTGACATTCCAAGCAGCAGTATGTAATTTAGCAAATGGCGAATCAATGACTTTTCTGTCGTGTAGATGTAGTAAGGATTCCGGGTACACCTCGCGGTGGGTTCGCACCACCACTCATACGCCATGTTCCAAAAACAAACGTTGGTCCCGACAAGCATGACAGTGCGCGCGATGAGGAGGGCCAGCCACATATAGGACGGCACGTCAGCGTCCTTCCATGCAACGTAGTGCTCGCCGATGCCCGTTCCAAAAAACTGCACATACGCGCGACCGACAGCATAGCCTGCAGGCCAACAGGGTGTCGGTCAGGCTGTGAGCAAAAACACATGCTGAAAGCTCACGAGCACATGCATGACTCATGCTATGAGATATGGAAATATGTTAAGAACTTTCCTCAGAACTATCCCAATGGGGCCTTCAAGGGCAGGCGTTATAGCGAAGGACAGAGCTCCCGCAAATGTGTGCATGTCCTCCTGCAGCTTGTTTGCATAGAAGACCGCCTTGTCTTCTCGAGTGATTTGATACCCTGGTCGCTTGAAGCGTTCCGTCATGAGAATAAAATCATGAGACATAGGAATGAAGATGAGCATAAGAATCCCCGCAACAGGGCAGAGGCAGCGGCTTACCTCAAAGCCAATGGACCGGATGCTGACACCCAAGTGCACAAACTCGTACTTTGGGAACTCCGAGACTAGAATAAGCAAAGCAGCCAGCAGCATAAGTACTTGAAAGATTGTTCCATGCGGAGTCGACGTCTGGTGAATTGTTTTACTCACCGATTCGGGCAGTTGTCGGAGCAAAGTGTCCACGTCCGTCCGTCTTGTGCGAACGTGCTCCATCTCGATAACTTGTTTACGACCCTGGTCACAAATATAGACTGCCGCATGACCGGAGGCAGCAGCCAAGATCAGAAGCAGCGAGGCCCAGAAGGCCTGTGCAAAGCTCTGGTGCACAGGTCCAGATCCGGAGCCTGCCATGGCCATCCATGAAACATCTCTCCCGAGCCAGGCGCCTAACATTTACAGAGGAAGGTCGACAAGGAGAGCAGATGGGACTCGTTGCGCTGGCCGCTCAATCGCTCGAACCCTGTGCGAAGGGTAGCGCAAGAACACAGCTTTTAATCTGCGGAGCCTTGACCTCAACTGGCAGCATACACGTATCTTGGCAGCTTCGCTTCTCATAGAAGCAACAGCCATCTTACATGTAAAATGCAATGAGCAATGATATCTACGACCTGGTCTTACACGAAATATTCGGAAGCTGTCAACTGCTTTACAGTTGCAGAGTAAACCATACTGGACTTGCATGTGAAGTCGTTCCGCGAAAAGACTGAGGAAAAGGACGGCCTACTTCTGCCAGAACCACGCGCTGCTCGGCAGACTGGGTTTCCGGTGCATACTTCACCTCTCCTTCCACCACCTGCGGGCGAGGAAGGATATCAAAATTCGTGCACGGCTGCGCTCCTCATCAGACACAAACGTGCTGCTGACACGCATCAGGTGACCAGGTACTCTTGCATGAAATATCCGCGCCAGCCGCCGATTTCCCTTCGGGAAAGCTATCACATTATCATCTGCGGCAACTGTGGTGCGCGTCTGGACATGTGTCGACTTGCTTTGCTTTGTGTCGAGCCGATATCTGCACCACATGAAAATGCCAAGAATAAGACTAAGTGCTAGCCCGATCTACATACAATGGCCAGCCAAAGGATCATTTGCGGGCAGACGCATTTGTGCGACTGCTAGCAAGTTCCACGCTATGTGTGTTCGTTCATACTTTCATTGGCAGCTTGATCCACATTTGCAAATTACAAGGGGAACGACCCCTGCAGCAGCTAAGTCCAAACGATAGATGTACCACATAATGAAGAGCGTGAATCGGGGCTCCTGGGTGCGTCTGTGTACCCCACGTGACTCCCGAGAGGCACAGGGGCTCAGATCACAGCAGGTCAAAGTCTGCACCACGTCATACCTCCAACGAGTCAGTCAGAGTGCTTCTTATGAGTGCGAGGCTGACTGGACCAGATTCCATGACTCTGAGGCAATGACACGAAAGGGTCCTTTACTTCCTTCTTTCTCACTTCCAGATAAACATTGCACAAGAATACCACAGCATTGGTTCCAGTCCTTGCAGTGGTCGTTGCTACCATTGACACGAACCAAGGACATGCACAATCTTCCATGCCAGGGGTCCTCCGGACAGTGCCTGGCAAGCTCCATGCTCCAGGCTTCTAGATCCCGCATGAGCTCCTCAAGTGCAAGAGAAGCAAGATCTACCAGCGATGTCAGCGATGTCTCAGTCTGACAATGCCGGACAACAGCACCATCCTCCACTTCCTTTTCGACAGCCTCCCTCAGGGAGGGAGAGACCCTTGCGTAGATGTCCTGCAATCAGCACATTAGAAGGAGACAGGGAATCTTGTTTCACGCCGGGCATGAATCGGAGTTCCTCGTTGGCTCCATTCACGACACGCTTGACGAGCGCTTCCCAGGCGGCTTCTTCGAAGTTACTTGTGGTGAGCTTTCCGCCTCGAGGCATGAGACACGGCAACCCAGTATTGGTGCCAATCATGTGGTGGCCTTGGCTCGGCTTCATGGTTTCCATCAAGAGCTCCTTGGTCCTTCCAAACCTCGGCTCAACAGTTGGCAGCCTGGAAGCACCACACGTGGGCGGGATTAATGCCGATGCGCCGTGGCAGCGACCCCTTCTTGGACCCTTGAACCTCTAAACCCTCTAAACCCTCCCTGAACCCCAAGCCCCTAAAGTCCCTAAACCCTAAAACCCGAAGAGCGGAGGAGCGGAGCAACGGCACAGGTGTGCACGCTATGTGCACACAGCGATCAAGTGTAGAAACCATGCAGAAAGCTCAAGGGCTCAGTTCTTGGCCTTTGCATCAAGCTGACTAGCTCTGCGTCAGTGGGCTCCGGCTTCTGCGCAACCCATTGTGAGGGCTGGAATGCGCGGCAGCAAGAACAACGCAAAACACAGCAAGGCAAAGCAAAACTTGGTGCATCCTCCTTCTGCATGTTGCAGTCAGCAAACCTTCTGCACTTGCACATGTAACTGGGGTAACTCCTCTCTTCTTGCCTGTGCATGTCGCAAGGAGAAGCCACAGCCCAAGCCTGTGAGGCAAAAGACTCTTGAAGAGACCGTAGAGTTGGCATGGCCTGGTCGCAAATGTTGGGCATACTCTTCACAAACACATATCTTTATCTGCACAGAGCTTACTCTCAATTCCACTCGCTGAGTGCTGTTTCTGGGGTCTGCACTTGTCCAAGTATCGTAGCCACGCCAACCTCTGCAGTCGAACGATCTGCTGAACGTTGCACATGTGACATTGTGCAACCGTAGAAGTCGCGCCTGGGCATGACCATAAACATTTCGACGTCACATTCTTCACACATCTGTGCGAGGACCTCGTGCCATGTGAAGTTTCAAGTGACTGCATCACCCTGAAACGCTCTATGCCGCCGTGTCACGGGAGCAAGCCGCTGTGCTGCCCGGATCTCTGCTACCAGATCACAAACCTCATGCAATAAGCACCAGAAGGACAACATCCCAGGTGTGGCATGACAAGTCGTCCAAACCGAGGGTGCAACAGCAGTCAACATCTTTTCTTGCTGAACGTAGCGAGTTCCAACCTGCGGAACACACTTCTTTTGGCTAATCCTGACTATAGGTGGCAGGGGAGGCAGAAAGGAGCTGCGGCATGAATGCACAGCTGTAGGCAAGCACTATCTAGGTAGTTTCAACCGCACTTATATGGCAGCCTCCCAGCTCTCCTCCCAGTCCACAAGTCTGGCCACCAAACCGGCGTTGTTGCCTCACGCTTGAGTTGCAGATGCTGCTATTCTTGAAGGACGCCGAGCTTGAGGGATCCGCAGAGGTGCGGGTCCACTCGCTCAAGACATCGCCCGACCTTCCAAAGCAAAGCATCTGAACAAACTTGTGTGTATGGGCTGCGCTTCACCCCGCCTCTCGAAGGTACTCCCTCATCGCCGTGAAGGAATCCAACACGTCTTTGGTAAGGCTTCTGGCAGCTGCCAGTTTTTCCGAGCTTTGACCACCTGTCCACGTGCATCTTGGCAAGGCCTAGGACCCTGAGCCACTGTGTGCCACTGTGTGCCACTGCGTGCCTTTCTCTGCTGCATCACACTTGGACAACCTCAGCCACGGCCCGGCGCAGCCACTTGTGCAGCTGCACGACAAAAGCCAAGTTGTGGACGTCTGCATCGCGTCCAGGAGGACATCCATGCTCAAGTCGTCCCGGCCCTGTTCTGCTTTGTAAGCTTTGTACATGCTCTTAGCTCTCTTCCGTCCCGTTGACCGCCTTGCGACGAACGTTCGCGACGGAGTTGAGATGGGCAATGCAAGCCACAAATCGCCTCAATTCCTTGCGTGCATCGCACATCATACTTAACAACAAGAACAGCGGGCCAAGGAAATCTCACAGCAAGAAGGGCTGCGCCTCTTTGTAATCAGGCCGCTGAAAGACGTCACCCTCCACACTACGAGCCTGCGGTGCTCATGAACAGCACTTCATGGACCTAATCCCATGAACATCTACAGCATACAGGACCCTACACGTTGCAGATGCGATCGCCGTTGAAGTTGTGTTCCCTCAAAAAGCCTCAATCGATTGGAGCTTCTTCTCACGTTCAATGGCCTGCGTCACCGATCACGTTAGCTGCGCTTGGAAACTGTTACAGGGGAATTTGGCTTAGATCATGAAGCTTGGCCTGAACGACTAGTCGTCGGGCTTTCTCTTCGATCTCAATCAGCTCCATGATGTACCTTCATGTCACATGCTCATTGGCAATCGAAAGCTGCTCATGTCAAAACACCTCATTTAAGTTGCGTGGGGCTTGGTGATGTCAGAAGGTCTTTTTGCCGTCGGCACACAGTAGGCGCTTGCCACTCACAGATATACAGCCGGGACAGTTGCAGCGTTCATGCTATTCACGATGCTGCAAAGTCAGGCGAAGATGGACTTGGACAGCTCCATAGCCCATCAAAGTTGTGTGGGTTGCCCTGTCTGATAGGATCAGCAAGGTCCTCTCTGTCAGTCTGCAAACACCTGCACTGAACGGTGCACTTTCTATAATGTCATCCTGGTGCTCTGCTGAGAGCTTTGCCTTCTGCCACTGGTCCATGGCTGTCAGCAAGCTTTGCATTCCATCAGCCTCCCACACCAGCTGCAAGGCTACAAATTCTCTTACACTAGCCCAATAAAGCCGCAACGAGGAAGCTTTTGGCCACATCACTTTGGCCCACAAGGTTCGACAGCAACGCAGCCGTGTACGGCCATATTGTTGGAGGTTTCTCTCCGAGTGGTCCTGCATTGAGGCGTATGGGAGATTCACCTCCTGAAAATCCCCACACGCGGTAAGTCCGGTTTTTTCACAGAAGAACGGCGATATTCACGAGCTGGGAATTAGGTTCCGCAACTCTGACTGGGTGTGGGGTCGGGGAGGGGGGTGTGCGGGTTGTGGGGATGGGGGGCGGGGTGGAGTGGGGGGGGAGGGGTGGATACATACATACATACATATATGACTATATACAACTAGTGGTGACCTGCCTCGCCAGTCACAAATTGCGAGCCCAAGCAACATGAAGTGTAGGCATCGCAATGCAGTCGGCCGCATGCATGGCTGCATGCACGTGACTGCATCCAAACCCAGCGACAAGACAGACCGAGACTGGTGCCGTTGTTTCTCCCACAATCTTTTGACACCCATCACGCGAGCATTGCGTTTGCAAATGGGGGTTTTTAAGCCGTGCAAGCTTGTTTCAGAAGCATATGAAACTTTTTTAAACACATGATGCGAGCATTGCTCCACAGCATATGAGTTTTTGTTCAAAGCCATGATTGCGAGCATTGTGTTCCGCCCAACCCGACTACCCCCCCCCCCCCCCCCCCCGCTTCTTTGAGCTGTGCAAGCTTGTTCTGATGCATACAAGCATTGTGTTTGCAAATGGGGGACCCAACATGACCCAACCCAACCACCCCCCGCTCTTTTGAACCGTGCAAGCTTGCTCGAAAGCATATGCGTTCTTTCTCAAAGCCAACGCACAAGCATTGTGTTTGCAAATGGGAGGGGGCTGCCCCCCCCCTTGGCTTTGTCAAACCCATCATGCGGGCATTGTCCTGCAAACCCCCTCGCTGTTTAAGCCGTGCAAGCTTGTTTCAGGGTGTATGAATCTCTTTGAAATCCATGCGAGCATCGTGTTTGCAAATGGAGCAGCACCCCCCCCCCCCCCCGCGGTACGGACGCCGTAATTCTGATGGCTCTTGGTTCGGAATAAGACCCCCCCCCCTGGACTAGCCTCGGTACCCTTGCCGAGGCGGTGGTTAACCAGCACCCGCATTGACCGTCAGCTCGTGAATGCACACGTGGCACATGAGATGGCCCACCTGGGGTGCTGCTTGGCCGCCATGTCGCAGACTTGTTATGTTTGTTGCCTGCCCACTCTCGAATGAAGATTCCCAGAGTTGACACCTTTGACAACTCTTCACACCTCTTGACTTTTCTTGGTCCGGCCTTGCTCGGACATCCCGCAAGCCTCATGTTAGCACCCATCCATTCTCAGAAATGCCCGAGAACAGTTGTTCTACAAGTGGAACCCAAGAATGCTCTTCGAATTACGCTTGGGTCCAGGCGATTCTGCAAATGAAGTGACCCAGTTACCTTGCCGCTCTGCAAGTTGAGCCTCTCGTGCCGACACGCCTCGGAGCCCCAACTTCGCGCCATGTTAAGACTGTTAAGAGCAATTGCGAGCGGATGACTGCTCAGATGCTGACGGTCAGCATCGATAGAGAAGCCATCAATAGTTCCAGGAACAAGGCGCCAGGCGGCTAGGGAATTAAGACCTCAAAGATATAGACCACGAAGAACAGCTTGAAGAGACAACTACGCACACCGTGCCACTGCATTGTTGCGAAATGCTGCGCCAAGACTGCTGCCATCGACCGTTGCAGCCTGAAGCCAACCCAGAAGCAAACTGTTTTTGGATGCTTGGATGAAGGGCCAGTCTCTTGGTCGACGACATCTACTCCCAGGATCTTCTCCATCACTTCCAGCTGATCTGAGCTGATCTCCGCTTCGGAAGCTCAACATGCAACAACGAGCAACAACGAGCATGGGGCCAAATCTTGGGTTCAAGGCCTTGAAGCCTGGCATGGCGTTGCAAGGTTACTGCCCGCTCCTGAATCAACATGCATCCTGGGTCATAGCTGTGGTGTGCTTGGACCGACAGGCACGCGCCTTGCGCACAAGCTCCAAATCTTTCACCAACAATTCCGCAGAAGTAAATGCACTGGCTGCCTGCTGCGATCCACAACTCGTCTTTGACAGCACCCACCTTACCACCTCCCTAAATTCCGGATTGCTCTTCCGCGTGCGCCCTGCGTGCCTTGTCATGTTTGGAGTCGGCCACAACCGACTGCGTGAGTGATCGGACGGAGCCCACAGATGCCAAGGATGCCAAAGATGCCATCTGCATTGGCCATCGGTGCAGCTGATAACCCATGTTTTCTCATGTGTGTGTCGGAAACGCTCCCTCTTTACAACTTCGCGAGAAGTCTGAGTAACGCACGGAAGCTGGGGCACCTGCAACTTACAAGTCCACCAGCGCATCTCAATGTCAAATCCAACATCAAGCCATCAAGCTGCCACCTCCAGCGGTGAAAGAACTTCGGCACCTTTCATGCTTGCACTGTCGAGTCGAACGAAATGTCCCAAGATCTGATCCGCATGCTGCAAAATCTTGACCTACTGCGTTGCAGATCACTGGGGTTACGGCGGGCGGCTACTGGTGAGCATCCCATCGGCCTTGGGGCACACACAAACGGCTCTCATAAGGAACCACACGACCAGCCGGCCGAAAGCAGATGTCACACGCAAACACATGTAACTAAGTTTGCAGGGAGCGGCACTATCAGTGGCTTCCCACCCCCTGCTCCCCACCTCCCCACCCCGCCCCGGCATCTTCGAACCGTGCCAGAGACCTTGAAATCCGGGTCCCTGAATCTCAGCTTGGCCCAAGAACAAAAATAGCAAACAAGAGCTCAGGTAAGCTTCAAGGAGCTCGAAGAAATGAAGGTCAGAAGCGATCATGTTTCAAAAGCAAGGCTCAATGCTGAAATCGAAAGAAGCAAAAGCTGATGGAAAGTCGCAAACAGGAAAAGTGCAGCAGGCGGATTATCATGACAACCGACGGCAAGTTCAGTGAGGGGGAGAGACATACGAATGGTGAAGCTGACTTGGCGACAGCGCCAGCAAGACCACACGGTTGAGACAAGTCTTGGCACAGAATCTATCCGAGTACGAAACAATGAACTGCGAGACACCGTAGAACTCGATACGCATCCCCAGCCAGTAGCAAAGATGAGTTTCTAAGGCCCAAGATGGTCCAAGCTGCCTTCCAGTCCCGTGGCCTCGGAGGCAGATCAAGGATCTTGGAACATCTACACACACACACACAGAGGGAAGGCAGGGAAGGCAGAGGAATTTGCAGAGGAAGGATGAGGAAGGTTGACAAGCTGGCTTTCTGGGCTTTTCGGGTCTTCCGGGCTTTCGTGTCGGGCTGGACATGGCTGCAGAGCCACTTGGGACTCCCCCAGGTCACCCAAACAAACATCAGCATGCTCAAACTACAGTATGAGATTCAAAAGCCTGCAAATCAGACGCTCATTTGACCTTCCGTGCCCCATGTCTCGGTTCACTTTCTACCAGTGAACTGCTCTTCACATGCTACCAGACGCTGGGGGGCTTTGGGAAGCCTTGGGAACAGATCCCAGATCCTTCGCAGTGCCAGTTTCGTTTTCGTGTGGGACGGCCCTTCAAATAAGGGAAATCGGCCTTTCAGAGGCCTTTTGGAAGGCCATCAGCTTGGTCGCTTGCTCCGAGGAAGCTGCTTACAGGCTGCCCTGGAAGAGACAAGCTCAAACCTGGTTCGCCTCTGACTCGCTGTTAGAGGTACGAGTACATGCTGATACAATTAGGTGTACAGCACAACCCGCTGTTCTGAACTGCGACGCAAGCCACCAAGAACCTGCAGGCGGGGACTCCTCGGGCTCCTTTGCATGTAACAGGTAAAAGTTGCATCACGGAAGCTCCCCTTGATGTCTCAATGTCCTGAATGCCATACCCATAGTTGGCGTTCTCACCATAGCTCATGGCTCGCAGAAGAGGTCCAATGTGGCTTCAGAATCTGTTAACTCCATCACGCTACATCATGTCTTGCACCTGATGGAGAGCACGTACGTCATAGACTTATCTTCAAAAGTTTTCTCTCGTCATGCGCTGTCAATCGTAAGAGAGCTTGCGCGAGGCGAAGAAGTGAGAAAAGCTACTGTGCATGAAAACCGCAAGCAAGAGGGCACTTGTGCTCAAAACTTGCCCAGGCAACGTCGAGAGCGACCTAGGTTAGCGACATGAGCTGCGATGGACAATGGCCTCAAATCCCCCCCGCCCCCCAAGCACAGTCATGGCACAAGCGCATCTCGAAAGTCGCTTCTTGATGGTCGGGAAGCACGGACCTTCTATAAACACCAAACGCTAGATGCATCTAGACTCCAGACTTTACAGCGAATGGCACAAGTATGCACATGAAGCCTGCTCCGTGTTCCATCTCTCGAGAAGTGTAGCCAAATCAGCCCAGCATCTCTGCAGAGCCTAACCAGGACCACGCAGGCTGGATTCATAGACACATCTATGCAATCAGCAAGACAACCTAGAAGTCTCAAGAAGGTAGCTTTCAGAGCTGACTGGCCCCACTGTGCCTCTGCGCGACGCATGGCTTCCGCGCTGAATTCGAACTGACAAGGCTGTTTTCAGTGGCATGATGACCACACACACACACCAAAGTCACTGAAACTCCCAACTGAACTTATCTGCAGCCTCTGGCTGCTTCGTTCACTTCCAACCGAAACAGCAACATCTGAAAGCTGCATAGCTCTGCATGGTCGGCCTTGTCTCCGTTGACCCAGATAACCGCATACTGCTCGACACTTGCCTTCCCAGCGATGGCTAGCCAAGATAAACTCGACAACAAGACTTCGCTGATCCAGCCTCAAGCACGTCGACACGGTAGTTCCTTGCCTGTTCATGCAACCGCCATAACAGCACCGGACTTTCGAGCGCTGCCGTCCATTCTGACGGACGAATATGTACGAGCCAAACATCTCGCATAAAAAAAGCTTCTGGTCGCTTCGGCCTCATCTGGAAAAAGTGCCCGGTAGTTTATTGTGAAGGAAGATCGGTACCTGCACGGACAGCATACCAAGGACCTTGAAAGCATGCGCGGCACAAATCATGAGATCTGCTGGGCGAACTTCCGAGGCGCTGCATCGATGTGCATGACCTGCAAAATGCGTTTACATGAACATTTGCAAGAAGGCCTTTGGCTGTGTGGACCTGGGAAACTTCCAACTTTCCATGCTGAGCTCGAAACTCGCGCAGTGGAATCCAAACTTTCTAGAAACAAGGCGCATGAGTTGAACCCAGCCTGGCTGTGCACAAAGCAACCATGGTGATCTTGCAGCACTCTGCTGCTGGAAAACTAAAGTCACCAGCCTCGCTCTTGGTGTTCACGCGGCCACTCTCAATCACCAATCGGCTATGTGCCGAAGCCAAGTTAACTATTGCAGCCTGTCACATAAAGAATCGTGAGATTTCCTGTGCTATGGGAGTCGACACATGCCATGTAGCACTGCCTCCTCCTGCGAACTGAAAGTATCCCCAGTGGAGCTCCAAAGCTTTCGCAGCATGACTGCCAATGGCAGATGCCTTCAGTCACAATCACAATCACACCATCCCTACCGTCAGCTGCAGGCGGCAAGACATGAAAATGCAACTCAGAACAAGTGCCTGGCCTAACGTCAACATTGCATTGCGAACTGGTTGGTGCATGTGCGAGCCAAACATTGCAGCAGCAATCGTTGCGGTTTCCACGATTTGGAGAAGTGAAATTCGAACATGTGCGGAAGGTTAAAGCACAGCTTCCACCAAGGGTGTGTTTTGAATCTACCTTTTCAGCATTTTTCAGCTGTTGAGACCGGGCAAGAAGGTACTTCACAACTCCCACGCGTGCCCAAGATCTAGACTAGACAGCAAGCAAGCATAATTCTTAAGATATACTCGACACCTCTCCCAAGCCTTAAACTCACTCCAAACCCGAAACCGTCGAGGAAAGACATATAGCAGAAACAACCGGGGTGGATAACACAAACGAAAACCCAAAATGCATGCAGGCACGCCCCCACGCCCGCACGCATGCACGCCCGCACGCCTGCCCGCCCACCTGCCCGCCCGCCCGCCCGCCGCACGCACGCAGCCACGCACGCGCACACACAGACACACACACACACACACACACACACACCCACCAAAACACACACACACACACACACACACACACACAGGCAAGGAGTGTTTTCTTAGCACCACGAGCGTCATCAGCTGCCCTTACTGTCGTTCTCAAGCCGTCAGGCTACCCAAACAGAACTGTAGTATCTGCAGACCAAGGCACTTGCGAAAAGATGCAGCTGCCGAGTTGAACAAGTCGGGAGTTGAGGGTACATGATGTCACAAGCATTTTGAGGCAGGTACACGCTTGTGGCCAACCAGCACTTCCCATCAATCTCTGTAGCTTCATTGAGTACGGTAGGAGATGACACCGTACGCCCCTGCGCAAGGGAGAAAGAGGATGTGCCGACTGCACGAGCTTTCGTCACCTTGATCCACGGGAATCTCTGATTGATACCTGGAAAATTGCAGGTATGTGGAAATGGCGTCCCTGCTCCATATCACTGTGCACTGAGAGCGTCTTCGTTGGTAGGAAACTCTCCGGCACCTCCTGCCCCCTGCACAGGTATGCACACACACACACACACACACACAGCCGCGCGCCTGCCCGCCCGCCCGCATGCACGCATGCAAACAACCGAACAAGCAAACAAACAGACAAACGAGCGAACAAACAGACAAACAGAAACAAAAACACTAGCAACAAAAAGTAGCAACACTAACACTAACACGAACACGAACACCAACACTAACAATAACAATAACACTAGCTCGAACACTAACACGAACACGAACACAAACACTAGCATTAGCACTTGCACGAACACAAAGACTAACACTAACACTAAGTCTAGCACTGACACTAACACGAACGCGAACACAAACACTACATCTAACACTAACACGAACACAAACACTAACACTAACACTAAGTCTAACACTAACACGAACACGAACACGAACACTAACACTAACACCAACACTAACAACCGAGGCAGGTGCAAGGGCATGGTGGTACTTTGATTTAGCGTGGACTAAAAGAGGACCTCGAACCAAACGACACATTGCAGAATGCCAAAGTGTGGGCGGAAGTTTGAAAATGTTCGGCAACACTGTTCACACAAAGCACCTGCATTTGGGGGGCCTAAGACCCCAACCAGTTTTGTTGACAACGATACCCATCACATCCCATCATTCACAGCAAGTGAAGATCAGATGACTCCAACAAGAAAGCTTCCCAAAAGCCGTGCCTGACAGCCGCACAACCATCCAGCAGATGCACGCAATTGGTTTCTCAGCGGTAGGCGAGAAAGAAGATCGTGAAAGCTCACGAAAGGCTCGTGGAAGGAAGGCCCACAGAGGCATTGGAGCACAGCTGGACTAAAAACATTCCTCGCCTAGCGCGTGCAGATTCAACAGATGCTGCTGCTCTGCAGATGTGCCGATGTACCTGCGCAAATGCTGCCGCAGGCTTTACCGACATGGGTGCCCACAGGGCGGATCTCTGAGACCGGCATCTGCGTCTGGCTTCAGATGAAGTGGCTAGGGCTGTGTCCTCTTGGCTGGCCGCCACGGCAGTGAAGGGAGTGAGTCTGAGGGAGAACGCCCATCCCCATCTCACCCGAACGTCCTTCCTGCTGAGCAGGTTGCGACAACGGCTCTCCATTCTGAACAAATGTGCGCGCAGGACAGTCCCGATAAGCTCCTAGGCATAGGAGCTCTGGCGCAAAAGGTTACGGACAGGATGCCGGCAGGCAGAGTCAGGCAGATGGAGCAGGCCAAGGAAGCGACCTCATGTTTGGCATCGGACGCGTTCACAGCCGCAGCGAGCTGTCCTCGGCAAAGCTCACAGCTTACCAAACTCTGTCATCGATGCATCCGCGCACAACGACTCACTTCATCGCGTCATGGCTGGAAGCTTCACACGGCAGATGAAGGGTGGACACCGAAGGCCGGACACAAAGCCGAGAAAGCCTCTATGTAGCAATTTCATGGGCATGAAACTGTAGCTTTGGTTTGCAGAAGTTGCGGAAGCTGCTTGCACCAGAAGGGAATCTAAACGAACAGCCTGAGCAGCCTCCTCGACTATCTCGCCTCTGCCCCTGCCACTGGCGGCCAACATCTGCTTGGAAAGCCGTGAAGAGTGACATAAAGCAACGTGCTCACAAGCAGCGGGACCTTCTAAGCAGCAAAAAGCGAACCCGAACCGACAAGCTGCTGCAGACGCTCTATATCTTCTTCAGATCTTCTTGGACATGCTTGATTCTTGACGTGATGGGCGAAGGGCAGGTGCCACGGCCAAGCTGGCTCCTGTGCCGGCTTTGTGCACCAGGCTCATCGGGCTTGGCCGTGAGAACCTCGCGCTCATGGCTCACGGAGTGGGGCTTCTGCTTCTGCAGCCAACGTGCACAAAGGATACAGAGGACATGGGCCAGCAACAACTAAACGTGAGACAGCGTCAACCATAGCTGCATCGAGCAACTTGAGCAACTGTTCAGAACGGCACTGTTGTGGGGCAACGTCGAAACCGGCACCTGGCAGCACGGCGTTCGTTCTGCAACCATGCGAGAGGAATTCTGACTGCATCCTCACGAATGAAGGCATCTGGCTGTACCAAGAAAGCAGCAGCAAGACTCTGTAGCCTACGCTGCAGCAGAAGCAAATGACTGGAGGCTTGCCACAGCGGCGCCGTTTAGGGATGGATATGATTGGAAGCCACAGTGGCATAATGCGCAATGTGACACGCCAAGAAGGCCAACGTCAAGGAAACTACAAGGCGGCGTGTTCTGTGCCGACCTGAATGCCTCAGTGAAGCTGTGGTACCCCAGCTGACCAAAGTTCACATAGTCAGAAGCTCTGACAGGCCATTCCACAGCAGTGCTGCCACTGATCGCCATGCTTCGAAGAGTGTTCTGACTCCATGCTGCATTCATGCGTACAAGCCCCTGGCTCTGCCAAGGAAGCCGCGAGGCATGGGCAGCCGTTTGTGCAAGGTGCGGGAGAGGGGAGTCTTCAGCCTCGGTTTGGACATCTTCACGTCCGAAAGCAGCACGCTGCCATCAGCCCTTGTGAAGCACGAGGTCGGGGCAGGGCAGCGGAAGGCGCAATGGAAGGCATACAGCCAGAACCGACTCGGCAAAAGTCATCAGCAAGGCTTTACAGTGCACAGCTTGATGTTCGAGTCCGAGCATCTGAGCTGTCTCTCATGTTCCCATGTCTGCTTTCTGCAGGGGCGGGCTTGTCACACGGCTTCGATCGAGGAATTTCGGCCACCCATGTCAGCCATCGTTGAACGGAATGCACAATGCGACACGCCAAGAAGGCCAACGTCAAGCAAAGTGCAAGGCGAAGCGTTCTGTGCCGACCTAAATGACTCAATACAGCTGTGGTATCTCAGCCTCCCCACCTTCAAGTTGCCAAAATCTCTGACAGGCAATCCCACATCAATGCTGCCACTGATCGCCATGCTTCGAAGAGTGTTCCGACTCCATGCTGCATTCATGTGTACAGGCCCCTGGCCCTGCCAAGGAAGCCGCAAACACATGAGGCAGCCCGTTTGTGCAAGGTGCGGGAAAGGCCAGTCTTCAGCCTCGGTGGGGCCAAGCGAAGCTCAAGCTTTGGACCTCCGCACGTCCGAACGCCTCAGAACATTTGACGCCTGAGGCAGGTGCTGTTGCAATGGAAGGCAGAACGGAAGGCCAGTGCCAATGTTATGCACACGTCTTCACCGAGTCGGAATGCCCAGTTTCACGCCCCCTGCCTCCTGAAGCGGAGCCCTCGCCGCGGCGTACGAGTCAACTTCGGAATCTGATAGCTGGTGATGCCACAAATCCTAGAGTGCAACAAAAGCAAGCGTCGATCGGACCGACACTGCAAAATCACGGTGAAGCCTGCGCAGCCTGCAAACAGCAGGTGCCGGCGACGTTGGCGACACGAGCCGGCGGTGTCACTGACAGTAGATTTAGTAAGGTTCGCGTTTTCGGGTTTGGGGTGTCGGGTTCAACTCTGTCTGGGTACCGTATGCTTTCCTGCAGTTGCAGAAGAATGCTTAACGGAGGGCGTCTGGATGCCTGCTGCGCCACACGCATGTCACTACCGAGCCAGTCAGCTGCCTTGGACACTCTGCGTGAAACAGGGCATAGGCATAGGCCGAAGCTGTGTCGCAGCACTGCGATTGGCGAAGCTGGCAACGGTCACTGGAAGAGCAATCCCACACTGAAAAGGGCGGCGCTGTGGAAAACCACCGAGCAACGTGTCCCGTCCTGAAGTGAACGAGTCTACATCGCCACAAGCTTTGAGGAGCCATCTACGGGTTTAGGGTTTAGGGTTTAGGGTTAGGGTTTAGGGTTAGGGTTTAGGGAAAGGGTCTGGGGTTTAGGCAACATCTGAAGACACTTTTGCAGGGCATTTGGACGGGCCTGTCAGAAGCCGCACCTCGCTTGCGCGAACCTTCTGCGGAGGTTAGCCAGCTGGCCTCCGAACGCCAGGGCATTTTGAGAACTACAGGCCAGTGGCGGCCAGTGGGTTTAGGGTTTAGGGTAGAATTGACCTGTCCATTGCCAGACTGCTCGAGAGACAGAAGAGTCGCGTCCTCTACCCGAATTCAACCGCCGACTGCGCGCATCCCGGCAACGGTGCATGGCATCTTTCTGGCAAGTTCAGAGGAATATGTTGTGAGTCGAGGAATGACTTCCAGCGTTTCGGACGCCAACGTTTAGGGACAACGCAGACCAGATCTCAGCACTTTGCAGCAGCGCCTGGCCCTGCTGCGAAAGTTCCTACAAGCTCTTTGCTGCATGAGGTCAGGATTCAGGGCGGCATGATGACGCGGAGGCCTTCGGGCTGGGCACTTGTTATACAAGACTGCTAAGAGGGCATCAATCTAACACGGGCCGAGCATGCTGTTCGCAGGGAAGCGAGAGAGGACTGCCTTCATGCTGAGGGGGCAGCCTCAACAGGGAGCTGCTGAGAATATAAGGGGGCCATTTACCTAGGACCTAGGATTTTGGAGGTCAAACCCTCATATTTAGGGGCCTTTAGAACCTACTTCAGGGACTTCAGGTGCAAGCAGTTCACCTCCCAGCCTGATTGCCTCCCCGGCGTCCAGCAGCCAGACGTCCGAAATTTTCAAGGTCAACCCAGCTTTTGCAGCTCGGGGGTGCACTGAACTATGCACCCCAGGATTATTTTGGGCACTGTACGGCGGAAATGGCCCAACGAGCTCCCAATATCTTCGGGAGGTTTCTGTCGGCTAAGCCCGGATCCTTAGCGACTTACTGCACGCTCGTCCCAGCGATCCGACGCTCGCAGCATCGATGTGCTTGCCACCGCAGCTTCGCTTCGAGAGCCAACCTATGTGTTGATACACTTGTCGTTCCCACGAACATGCACTCGCCCTGGCCCTCTCTATTTAGTGCTGCGCGGTATGCAACAACAGCTGTACTTAAGGCAAAGGACAAAGAATCAGATACTTTCTTAGCCTCAGTTTCTCGTTCCGTCAGGAGGGCACACTTCAAGCATGACACGGCCACTCCATTTGCACCCACCTTCCGTAGCTTGTGTGCCTGTTCGGGGCCAAGTGGGTTGGCCTGTCGGCACCATGCAAAAGCAACTGGAGCCGTAGCCGCACAAGTATGTTGCACTCGCCATGTAGCTGTAGACGGGTTCGAACAAGTGCAACCATGGATTCTCAGGAAGACCGGCCGTCCAACTGAGTGCCGAGTCCACTTGAAGTGCACGCCGTGTCCGCTGAGAGCCCATGGATGTGAGAGACGAAGCATCCAAGGTTGACCCTGCAAGCGGGAAAAGAAGGACGGGCGGCAAAGTCAGGCCGGGCGACATTGTGCGCGGAGCTTAACCCCTCCCTGGCAGGTACAGGGGTGCATGAACTCAAACAAGGGCACACGCTTGAACTTAAAATGCGCAACGTTGAAATGTGACGTACAGGATCCGGAACGAGTTCGCATGCTTACACAGGCTACAGCTCATGCATGAAGTCTAGAAGCCGGATGAGGGAAGAACAGAAGTGACACGTGTTGGAAAGCATTTTCTAGGGCATCCTGGCCCTTGCATGCCACGGAGACGTGCAATCGTACATGAATTTCACGAAGGTGCAACTTTTACGGGTGCTTTTCTACAGGCATATGGCCTTAAGGTTGAAAGGTTCGCTGCAGCGCAGCAGTTCTTGTCAAAGCTGTGACATTTGCGAGGTCCGAGATCGGATCTGAGCACTCAGGTCACTACCAGGACGGGCTATCATACCCCATAACCCTTTACAAAGGCACTTTATAGGGTTGATGATGGGGATTATAGGGCCTAATCGCCCATCCTGGTACCGCCAGTAGGGCCTTGAACGTCTTGAGCATGAGACCCGTTGACGGCCCAGAAGTGACAGCCGTGGCGGGCGCGGAAACATGGCACACGTACACCTGACGTACTGTCTTCGATGCTCCACCTCAATGTCAAAGGAGATCAACATGCGGCAAGACGAAGACAAGTCTAGTGCAGCATCGTAGGAAGTCTCAGGGAGCCGGCAGAACCCAAGCTGCCCCGCCAAGTGTCCCGCGCAAGGATCCGGGCAGGGTGCTGGGCGCACGGCTTGCTGTACATGTCGCTGTTAGAGCAACATTATGCTCGCTTAGTCTGCCAGAGTGCCGAATGTTCTTTCAATCTGGGCCTCCAAGAGTGAGGCTGGCCACAGGACCCACAGACAGAGCTCTGTGCAAGTTGACTGCAGACGGGGTGCCACGTTGGCAGAGCAGCACCGGTGCACATAGCCTGCATAGACATGGATGATCTCCTCATAAGGACGCCACTTCTCACCTTACGCTTGGTGGTTCAACACGGTACAGCATCCCGAAGCATTTCAGGTATGCCCGCATGCAGCTCCACTGTTTTGTTGTTTTGGTTTGACCAGCTCATGTAAAGGGCGGATTCCGACTTTTCAGGCGCGCTAGGTTTTACATGCTTTTACAGTAATTGCCTGTGGGACATCGTGCAGTCGTGGACGCAAGCAGCAGCCGTGCGGCATGCAAGCAGCCATGCGGAGTTTAGGGTTTACATGGACGCGCTGTTCTACCCCATAACCCGCTTTAAGAAGGCCCTTTATGGGGTTGATTGTGGGGATTAATTATAGGGCAAGCGCCCATCCTGGTTGGAGCGCACTTCAGCTCATGGAAGCTGGCTGTCGGCAGCTCATGGCTTGCCTTGAGGCCCCATGCCTCTGCACTGACGCTCACAGCGGCAGAGCAACAAGTCTTGCTAGGACCTCAAACAAAAAGGAGCCTGGCATCAGCCACAAAGACAATTGGAGTCATCCAAGAGATCAGCTGCACCAAGATGTACACCAAGATATAGGCCAAGCCTCGAAATTTGGCCAAGAGGTTGGGAGAGCTTGGGCATTCAGAGCCCGTCTCCTTGCACCAAGCTGCCATCGACAAGGCTGAGCCAGTCGAAGGGCTGCATGGCATCCGCCTTCTCGGTGCTCACCGCATGCCGTCGCATGGCGTCGCAGGAAATATTGGCTTCTTGTGTGATTCTCGTTCTACACCATCCGTGAAAAACGACCGGCATCGAAGACTGCGGGCAGATGGCAGATGATGCACTCCTAGACTGCCAATGCAAACCCAATTGCTCAGTACTCAAGAATCGCCCTGCGACAGTTGCAGAGACGCTGTCTCTTGCTGCGGTGTGTCATGGTGCCGGATGCACCCAGAGGGTCGAGTGATTGGATCACACGACTAGTTACCCCCGCGTGCAGGCACCCTAAACCCTAAACCCTAGACCCTAAACCCTAAACCCTCAACCCTCAACCCAATCTTATACCCTCAGCGGACCACGCCCTGTCTCGTCAAGGGAGCTCGAGCATCTTGCAAGCGCAGAGCCTGGAAACTTCGAAGATTACAGAAGCACCCAAAGCCCCTCATGCCTCTCTGCTGATGTCACACAAGATATTGCACGGGGCTCCTGACAAGGCTTCGTGGGGTTTTCGGACAGGATTTTTTGAAAGTGTTTGGGCTGACAAGTGGCAGTCAACCCTGGCACAATTTTCTTTGAGAGCTTCACACCTCGCACAGGCCAAAGGAGTTCCCGATGAGTGCTCGACACGCGCCACAGGACCGTTAGTAGGCCGACGCGATGCTCAGAGAAAGCATCTCACTGATCTTAACCAATGCTCCGCTCACTGGTGTCGCGAAGTTGGTCCAAGCAACTTACCTAGAGAGGGCACTGCACCGCCAAGCCTGCATATAGCTCAACACTGAAACGTGGTTTCGCCCTGCACTGTGGACCTTCCTTGCATCGCCGTGTAACCGAGGCGAGCCGAGTCATGGCACATCCGGCGCGGCACAGTGAGGGCACGTGGTGCGAGAAACGAGGTCGTTGCGCTGGCTTAGAGGCTGGCCCCTCCGCACCTCAGACGGTGAAAAACTGCTCGCTCGGAGGCCCGGGTAGTTGGCAAGATCTGACAGGTGGCCGTTTCAGGCAAGTGGCTCGCCCGGCAGTTAACGGGCCGGCGATTGCGCAAAGTGACTACGGAGAGGTGACGAGCTCGCTCAACAGGATGGATTTTACTGGGAGCGCTGCCGGGTGATGTTGCGCAGCGACCGGAGCGTCACCCACATGGATGCCACCCTGCTTGAGGTTTCAGGACCTGCGGGTAGCG